TTTTTTTTTTTTTTTTTTGGTACTGGGGATTGAACTCCTATCCTTGGGCTTGCGAGGCAGGCAGCGGAACCACTGAGCTAAATCCCCAGCCCCACCACCTGTATCTCTATGTAAAATTATAGTTTACCGAGATGTTCAGGGTAGCTATGCTTTAATTGTGCTGGGTTTCATTACTTTTCTCTGTCCATCATCAGCTTTTACACTGGAAAGAGTTGAGATAATCTACCCAGCAATTACTTGTTTTTTAAATCACATGTTTTGATTTTGCAGATGAGCAGGATGAAGAAACAGTCACAGCAGGAGGAAAGGTAAATATTTAGGCCTGGTAGAAGAAGATATTCTTTATGGTCCTGTGTATTGAGCAGAAATACTAAATGAGAAGAGGCCCTTTTGGTTTGAATTCTCTCTTCCTGCCTCCCTCCCTCTGCAGCTCAGGCAGTCCTCCTGCTTTAGTTCCAGAGTAGCTGAAACTGTAGGTATAAGCCACCACATACCCAGCTGAATTTTCTATTCAGTATTCTCCTGGAATAGTTGTCTTCTTAGTCCCTAAAATTTTGAGAGGAATCTTACCGTCTTCTCAGGTAATGTCCCTCATATGGTATGGTTTCTGGGTCCACAGTCCCACAGTGGAAAGCTGACCGCACTGTTCAGGTGTTGTTGGAGAGTGCAGATGAGCTGGCCTTGATTTTTCTTGCTTTTTTATTGATACGACTTTAATCCACAGCTAACATAGACTTCGAATTATGCTCTTGACCTTTCCTGAGCCTTTTATTCATTACTTCATCAGTTTTGCTGTACGAGACCCACTAATCATCATGTTGTCAGAAGGTGTTAGATTCAAGGCAGGGATTGACTTTTACTTTTTTTGTTTTTGCGGTACCAGAGCTCGAACTCAGGCTCTTGCACTTGTGAGGCAGGCACCAGAACCACTGAGCTAAATCCCCGGCCCTGGGCTTCCTAAATTTATGGTCTGTTTATACTCTTATTAGTTCTGTGGATCATTTCCTCCCCACAGAGTGTATGGTTGTAAGGGATAAATGAGTAGTGTTGGGAAGACTCAGTATTTAGTGTTCAAGCAGGCTTGGCACTGTGCCTTGTAGCACCCCTCCTTGACCTTGTCTTAGATAACCTGAGGAGCGCGCAGTGATACAAGTTTATGGCCTGGGATTAGGAAAAACAACAAGTTATTGTGGAAAGATTTGAGCTATAAAGCTGAATTCTTGATTATAGAAACAGGCTTTCTTCAATTAACTTGCTAATTAATCTCATGAGATAGTAGTCTTTGGTTCCTTCATCTGTAAAAAGCAGAGATAAAGTCTATGTCGGCAGGCCGCTTTGTACCTTAAAAGCTGTGAAATGCCTTTATTTGAAAATGTTTTTGGTCTCTGAAATTGAATCACCTAGCCCCCTTTTTTTCTTCTGCTATCTGAAGTGTTATATTTCCATCTCTGTGGTTGTTTCTCTGAACTTTGGCTTCTTTTCTGTAGGAAGATGAAGATCCTAGCAAAGGTGATCAGGGTCGGTCACTTGACCCTGGTGAAGATAATGTCACGGAGCAGACCAATCACATTATCATTCCCAGCTACGCCTCGTGGTTTGATTATAACTGGTAAGTGGGCCTCTTGCCCTGAGAGCAAGGAACTGAGTCCTGGGAGTCCTTCCCTTTAAACCAGCTTGTGTCATGCTACCTGTTTCCCTTTTCAGATGGAGGTGATTTGTGTCTTTGGAATATCTTCTCTAAAACTATGTAAGGACAAAAATTGTTGAAACTTACGGCTGAAAAATTTTCCAATGTTTAACTGAAATCATTTAGCTTTAGCTATAATTGAGAGGCAAATGCTTGAATAGTTAATAATTAGAAAATATTGATGTTTTTATTGTATGATGTTTTAGAATGTTAAATGTATTAACCAAAAATCGTTTTCATTACTCAATAATTTCCTGCCTCTATTCCTTCTTGCTTGCTTGCTTCCTTCCTTTCCTTCCTTCCGTCTTTAGTACTGTGGATTGAACCCAGGACCTTTGTGCTCCTTTTCCAATTCCCCCCTTTTTGGGAACAGAGTCTCACAGTGTTGCCTGGTCTGGGTTTGAATTTGCAGACCTGGAAGTTCAGCCTCTTAGATTGCTGAGATCACAGGCGTGTGCCACCACACCCTGCTTTTTAAATTTTTTTCCTATTTATTTTGACAGTTTTTGTCTGTATAGTCTCGGCTAACCTTCAGCTTGCTTATTTCTTCTATACTGGCTTCAGACTTGAGATCCTTCTGCCTCAACCTTCTGAGCAATGGCATTAGTTATACTGTATACCACCACATGTAGCTGCAGCTGTATTTTAAGCAGTAGCATTTTAACCTTATGAGGCTTTAAAATACAAACCCTCGTGTAAAAAATTTCAAGAAAACAAACTTCCTTAGAACTCTCTATAATTCACAGCGACCATTGTGACATTCTTGGAGCATGGTTGGAAACAACTGAAATCCTCCATACTCTGTTTATTGAATACTTACCAGGTGTGTCTATTGAGTCTCAGGATTTTATTTTAAATACAATCTCTCCCCTCATTGATGGTAACTTCTTTAATGTAACTTCATAAAGAGTCTATACTTATTTATACTTACGTGGGTGATTGTGCTATAATTTAAACCTTGGAGTTGTTTTAGCTATTTTTCTCCTGCTCTTAATGACTGTTATGCTGTTACCATTCTTTAATGATAAGTGTTTTTTTTTAATATTACCTATACATGTCTAGAAGTCTTTTAAATGTTATTTATTTACTTTTTTTTTTTGTACCGGGGATCAAACTCAGGTCCTTGCGCTTGTGCAGCAGGCGGGGAAACCACTGAGCTAAATCCCCAGCCCTATTTACATATTTTTTTTATTGTACTGGTATCAAACCCAGGGGATCAGGCTGCCTAGACAAACGTTCTGCCATTGAGCTACACCCTCAGCCCTTTCTAGCATTCTTTATAAGACAATTTAAAAGAATATACTAGATGATTCACTTGAGCTATTAGCTTATTTTTGTCTGGCTCAAATACTGAGACTTTTCTACATGCCTTTAAAACTTAACTCAGTGGTATTGGAAATGGTTTCAATAAATGTAAGCTGGGATACAGTAGGTATATAACTTCTTTAAAAATAATTTTTTATTACATTTGCATTTAAATATTTTTTAATATTTGGAAAGTTTTCTGTTATTTGCAATTACTTGTTTTAACTGTCAAAAATTTTTAAACTTTGGCTGGGGATTTAGGTCAGTGGTTTCGCTGCCTGCTGCACAAGCGCAACAACCTGAGTTTGATCCCTGTTACCAAAAATGTTTAAACTTATATTTTTGTTTTTCCTTCTTATTAATATCATATTTATGTAGTTAGATGAAAAATTTTCATAACTTACCCCAGTTTTTCTTTCATTAAAGAAATATTAATGTATCACATATACTTAATAATAATTAGCCTTCTTTTGTTTTTTTTGGTACCGAGGATCAAACTCAGGACCTTGTGCTTAGGAAGAATAATTTGCTTTTTAAAACATTCTGCCTTCAGGTGCTTTTGCTAAATGATACCTTTATTCCAAAGTAGTGCTACTTTGTTATATTAAGTTAACAGACCTTAGGCGCACACTAGCAGGATAGCTTTAAGATTACTTATGTGAAGAACCAGTGTTCTTATGCTTTAAAATTAGAAAAAGGAAAAGTTATAACAGTATGTAGGTTTTTATAAGTTACAAAAACACTTTGATATGTGTGTTCGCCTTTGCATGTCACATTGTGTGTTGTGAGACTGGTAGTGAGGTATTAGTTATATCCATGGAACTGTTTTATGGATGAGGTTAGTGCCACCTCAAATGAAGGGTTCAAGTTTCAGAGTTGATAATTAGAGGTACTTACAGTCTCTGATCCTACATATCCTACTTACTTCTTCCATTATTTGTACTTGCTGAATGTGGCTCATTCTCAGAGGAATTAGCTGTGAGCACTTCAGAGCTTTTGAAAAAGTACTTGGTAATAGAAATTCTTGTGTTTTTTTACTATTGGTGAGTAAAGAAATGGATTTTGGTAGGCTCCTCCGAACCTGTAATAATGAAAACAATAGGAGTTACGTTAGAACTATAGTATGTTATTAGTTGCGTACAGCTAATAATAAGCTTAAAGTAATTATATATGTCTACGTAGCATTAGTTTGTCTTAGAGATTGACTTTATGGTTTTCTTATATTTCAAAGTACTTACACTATTTGGCGGTAAAATCCAGTTCGGTTTCAATGCCAATCAAGAGATTAAAGAGTGAATAGTTTGTAGTTGCAGTGGCTGGAACCCTCGGGTACCCAAGTGCCTCACATAAAACTTACACAGGAATTGCACACAGAGCTCCAGCTCTAGCCCATGTTTTTTGAGACAGGGTTTCATTAAGTTGCCAGCTTGCCCAGACTGGGCCTGAACTTGCAATCCTCCTGGCCCAGCCTCCCATATATTTTGTTATCTTTGGATTACTTATAACACTCCACACAATGCAAAAGCTTTGTAAATCGTTGACATACTGTATTGTTGTGGAAATAATGGCAAGAAAAATATCTGTATGTGTTCACTTTTTCCCCATTGCTGGGGGCTAAGTTCCAGGGCCTCACGCGTACTCAGCACTTTCTCAGTCACTGAACTGCACTCAGCCTGAGACAGAACTTCTTTGTTTTGAATTTTCTCATTGTGCTTGTTTGAATCTGCTGATGGGGAGAACACAAAAGATATGGAAGGCTCACCTTGTAGACTTGTTTTTTTCTGATCTTTTTTTTGTAACTGGTACTCAGCATGTCCTGAATGCCTGCATGTCCTGAAACTAAAGTGGCATCAGGAAAAAGCTGCAGTTAGTATCTGAGTCATTGTATAGCTGGTGTGGTGGGGCTCGCTTGTAATCTCAGCTCTCAGGAGGTTGAGGCAGGATTGCTGTGAGTTCAAGTTCAGCCTGGGCTGCCTAATGAGACCTTGTCTCAAAAAAAAAACAAAAAAGCTTGAGGTCAACTTGGACTACAAAGCAAGGCCCTGTCTGAAGACAAAAAAACAGAAAAACACAACAAAACCCACCATTATATGGATAACACATTTGTTTGTTTTTAGGCCTGGTCATTTTACATGGTTTCTGTCATGCTCTTGACTTGTCACATTTTATAAAATTACCAGTTTATTTTTCTACTTAATTTATTTTGACATAGTACCAATTATGAGGGATTTTTGGTTACTAGACAGGAATATCCAGAGAGAATATTTATTTTTTTATTTTTTGGTACGGGGGATGGAACTTGGGACCTTGCGCTTGTGAGACAGGCGGCAGAACTCCTGAGCTAAATCCCCGGGCCCAGAGAGCGTATTTAAAGGAAGATATACAACATATTACAAAGGTTTTTTTTTTGTACCGGGGATCAAACTCAGGACCTAGAGGTTGCAAGGCAAGCAGCGGAACCACTGAGCTAAATCCCCAGCTGTGTGTGACTTTAAATAGCTGTAAATATCAAAACTTTGTGGGCCAGGGATTTAGCTCAGTGGTTCCGCCACCTGCCTTGGAAGCGCAAGGACCCAAGTTTGATCCCTGGTACCAAAAAAAAAGAGTGCTAAAGTCACACACAAAGAGATAGATGAATAGAAAGAGTAGCATGTCTAACCTTTGAGCCAAAGATAGAGTATTCTACAAGTGGCATGGACTAATAACCTGGAAGAAAAGTTAAAACATTTTTGTGTACATCATACTAAATTCTAGATGATTCAAGTTTTAAATATAAACATTAAGAACATAAGAATATACATTAGAAGAATATATGGGGAGGTATTATAATAACATTGTTTCTTGCTATTATATGAAAATAATATTGAACCAAATGTTTTTACATGATACTGAAATTAATTCTGTGCTGTCGGTGACTGTTTCCCAGTGTTCCTGAGGTCTGCACAAGGGCACGTTGATGTTAAAGAGTCTGAGTAGCTGATCATCTCTTGTGGTCCTTTCTTTCAGTAGTTTGTTGCAATGCTAACTACTATGATTGTTGTCAACCCATTTCTGAAGAACTCCTCTGTCTTGTGGCTTTTAATCTAGTCATGATGGGCCAGGATTTAGCTCAGTGGTTTTGCCGCCTGCCGCACAGGCACAAGGACCTGAGTTCAATCCCTGGTACCAAAAAAACCCCAAAACAAACAAAAAATCTAGTCATGAGATGTTATGACAAGAAAATAATAAAATATGTAGGCTTTAGTGTATTGATAGAAGTTTTGTTTTTTTTTGGTACCGGGGATTGAACTTGGGACCTTGCGGTTGCAAGGCAGGCAGTGGAACCACTGAGCTAAATCTGTGGCCCTTGATAGAAGTTTTGAGTGTGGTTATGGGAATAGACAAACTACAGGAAGTATTGGAGGTGAAAACTTTTTTTAAACTTTATTGTATTCTCTTAATGCAGAAGAGCTTGTCTAGTCCTATTAATTTTGGCAAGTTATGCCCAGTTGTTGCATTTATCAGTTTTAATTTGAAAAACTGAACAGGAGGAGCCCAAATTGTAAGATTTGGCTATGATCCCAGCTAGTCAGGAGGCTGAGGCAGGAGGACCAAAGCCAGCCTGGACAACTTTGTAAGACCTGGGCACAGTGACACATGCCTGCAATCCAAGCTACTTGGGAGGCTGAAGCTGGAGGATCTCAGGTTTGAGGCCAGCCTGGGTAACTTAGCAAGACTGTGTCACAAAGTAAAAAGGACTGGGTTTGTGGTTCAGTGGTCGAATCATTGCCTTAGTATGGTTGAGGTCCTGGGCTCATTCTCCAGTGCTGTTAAAAGAAAACAAAACCAGATTAAAAAGAACAGACTTGGTGGTGTACTATAATCTCAGAACTTGGGAGGCTGAGGCAGGAGGATCACTGTGAGTTCAAGGCCAGCCTGGACTACATAGCGAAAATCTATCTCAAAAAACCAAGAAGGCAGGGATAGAGGGGTTAAGATTTTATTGTTTTTCAGAAAAGACTCTCAATCTTTTTTCTTTCTTCTCCCAGTATTCATGTAATTGAGCGGCGTGCACTTCCTGAGTTTTTCAATGGAAAAAATAAATCCAAGACTCCAGAAATGTAAGCCTCATTCTTTAGATAACTTATTTGTGTGTTCATGGCAGGTATTTTTGAAGCATGCTTCTGCCTTTGCTATAACTAAATTTGAAAGTTTGCAAATTCTTCAGTCCATTCAGAACATTGTTCATATCTTATTTGCACAGCATTCTTTACTTCAAAGGAAATTGTATTTTTGTGTTTTAAATCTTAAACTATATTCACATCCCCATGCTTACAGTTAAAGACTGAAATAAGTAAAGGGTATTTTCCCAACAGCTTCTGACTTATGTGTGCATGTAAGTTTTTATGTGTGTATTCGTGTACAGTAGTCCAGGAGAAAATCCAATCTTTGCTTTATCTCCATGATGAATGATTACTAATGAAAGCATGTTAGTTATGATGACACAGCTGGGTGTGAACAGAGCTTAATTGCATAAATCATGGTTGTACTTTTGCATTGGAAATAGACAAACTTACTGGAAGGAAGATTTTTGCTAGGAAATGTTTTCATCTTTTCCACATCATCCATTGGCCTACAATTAAAGGAGTGTAAATCACCACTTATCATAATGTTCTCACCATTTAATGTGTTTTATGGTACTGAGAGGTATCTACTTCCTGCATGGGACTGGACAAGTAGATGTCTTATGCTTAAGCTGTTAAGGAGAGATTGACTTGTGATTTTCCACATGAAACACAACAATTTAATGATAAGTATTTTCTGGTGTTTATCCATGGTAGTTTCAGACTGTCTAATGTCAGAGATCATTTCAGTGTTCATTTTAAGAGCTATCTAAAACCAGAATCGCAGATTTGCCATAACAAGCATGGATATTTTTTCCACCTACTTAAATATGATATATTCTTCCAGCTAATTTCCTCTTTGCCAACATTTGTGATATTTAAGGTTTTGTAGTCTTCTCTTCAAAAGCATCGTTTATGTTGCAGTCCATATGGCTTTGTTGATTCACCTTCCAGTCCGTGTGTATCCATCTGGCTTTCTCAGGAGCCTTTCTGAGCAGTCTGTGCTTTCTGCTCTTAATGGAGCTGACCTTGGGATGGCAGGCTTGTGTTTTCACTCCTGGGCCAAGAACTCACACTAGATGTCAAGTCAGAGTTTTCAAGTATTTTGTGACAAAAATGCCTGTGTAAACTGTGGAATCTGCTATGACAAGGTCTCATTTTTTCTTTCCTTTTTAATAATGTTCTTGTGTTACCTCCAATTTTGGCCTCATAGATTCTCCTTGTCACCTCACTAGGTCTCTCACACCTGCCACAGAAAGGTTTCCGTAGACATAGTCAGAGCCCAGTGCACATGTGGCTCCAGGAAGACTATAGCGAGGAGAGGGAGTTTTAAGAGCACAGGTGACACAGTCATGCTCGCCAAGAGAGCTGGCTAACTCTGCTTTGGTTCATGTCACTGGGATCATAGTCCCTGCCTTCTGGACAGATTTGGAGGATAGATGGAGTCACTGTGTGCACAGTGCTTACAGCAGTGCTTGGCACATAGTAAAGGGGAAGTACACAGTAGTGAGGGAGACAGCTTGAGTACTGGGGCTAAGCTGTGGATTCTGCAGGTGAGTCCCCATTTATCCATTTACCTCCCTGAGCAGGTTCTTGTATGTCACTTCCCATTAATGTCTTCATATTACTCTACTTTGTTTGTTGTTATATATTCATAAAGTTATTTTGTTTATGAGGTAACTTACTAGTATAATTACTCAATACAAAATTGCAACCAAGAGGGTAAAGTAGATCTTTAAAAATAAGGATTTTTGTATTAAAGATAAATAGCTAGCTAGTTGTGGTGGTGCGACATAATCCCAGACCTTAGGAGGCTGAGGCAGGAGGATCATCATGAGTTCGATGCCAGCCTGGACTACATAATGAGTTCAAGGCCTGCCTGAACTGCATAGTAAGACCATATCTCAACCAGATAGATAGATAGATAGGTAGATAACTTGATAGCTTGCTTTGCCATAAAATATCCCATCCCAGATGGACAGAATGGACATAAAAGTAATGCTTCTGTCAGAAAATTTCCATCTAAAAGAAATGTGCAGATACGGGCCGAGAGTTGTCTGTTGTCTTATTGTACTCCCCTCTCTGCTTTACACACCTGGTGGGGAAGGATTTGAGGCTGGGGCCTCCCTGCTAGCTTGTTTTTAAACCTTTTCCTTTCATCAAAATGCCTCTCTCACCTTAGCCTGCTTTAACAGAATGATTGTATTTGGTTGTGTTGCTGTCTGAACTTTTTCTTGTGTATGGTTGTGAGGAGTCTGAATTGTAATTGTCACTGTCTGAAAGGGTCCCTGTCTACCTTACGAGCTTTGTTTTTGCTTTTAAGATACCTGGCATATCGAAACTTTATGATTGACACGTATCGCCTGAACCCCCAGGAGTATTTGACCAGCACTGCTTGTCGGAGGAATTTGACGGGAGATGTGTGTGCCGTGATGAGGTAGTGTTGGTCAGGGTCTCAGAGTGTTCACTGCTCACGCTTCTCGTCCATTGCCTGTAATACTGGACTGACGAGACTGAATGTTTTCTTGCTTAGTAAATCACCTAAGTCTTTTTTTTTTTTTGGTACCAGGGAGCGAACTAGGGTCCTTGCGCTTGGGAGGCAGGCGGCAGAACCACTGTATTTAGGGGTCTAGCGTTTTTAATACCCATTTTAGTTTTCTGAGTTTTACAGTTAAATCATAAAATGACCAGAGATGGGGAGTAGTGGGAATCGGATGAACTTGATCCTAGACCTGTCTAAAGAAAAAACTAAAGCACAGCTAGGCTGCTGTGCTTCAGGTCTTTGTGAGTTCATTTACCATGGATCTAAAGGAACATTTGTTCTCATTTCTACAATTAAAATACTAGACGTTTTACTAGGTTTTGAGGTTCTGGATTACCAAACCTAAATGGTTTGTTAAAATTATCCCTCATCCAGCAAACCAAATTTGTTAGGTGTTCTGGTGATTTGCAACCTGGGGGTGATATCTTTACTTGTTTCTTTCTCTTTGTTTTTGTTTTTAAATGATGTGACAATTGTAGATAAAAGATTTATCTCTAGATTTTTAATTTTCAGAGGTTTGTTTTTTAGGGTTCATGCCTTTCTAGAGCAGTGGGGACTCGTTAATTACCAAGTGGATCCGGAAAGTCGGCCCATGGCCATGGGACCCCCTCCTACTCCTCATTTCAATGTGTTAGCTGACACCCCCTCCGGGCTTGTGCCTCTGCATCTTCGATCACCTCAGGTATTTTGTGTTAACTTTTTTTTTTTTGGTACCGGGATCAAACTCAGGACCTTGCGCTTGCAAGGCAGGCAACAGAACCACCGAGCTAAATCCCTGGCCCTGTGTTAACTTTTCTTGTGGCCTGATGGTAACGGTCACTTTGCAGCTTTCTTCTCTAGAGAAACCGTCACTGTTATGCAATAGTGGTGTTCATGCTACTTCTTAGCTGACACTGTGTGTGTGTGTGTGTGTGTGTGTGTGTGTGTGTGTGTGTGTGTGTGTGTGTAAAATGCTTTGAGTCTAGACTGGGACTGTAGTTCCATGGAAGAGTACTTACCTTGCATGCACAAGTCCCTAGATTAGATCCCCTGTACCACAAAATAAATGAGTGAATGAATCATTCTGTAAAAATATGAAATATTTAAGGTAATGTTGTTCCACCAGTTTAAGATTCTGTACCTTATCCTATCAAGTTACAGATTTGCATTCATAGTCTTAACCTCTTTATTCTTCTCCCATAAAGACTAATAAGGAGAAACACAAAGAAGTTATGGTGATCTTCCTGCCTCAGCCTCCTAAGTACAAGGATTACAGGCGTGTGCCACCACTACCAACTTTAGACACATGTTAAATATATAATTATCCCAGATAAATTAATAAGTAACACTAAATTGGGATAACATGAACCTAAGCTGTAAATTTCCTTTCCTTGTGAAATAGTAGATCATATTGAAGAAAAATTTGTTGTCTGTCTTCTCTGTGATTTAAATTGGCACCAAAAATAATGTTTCTTGTCTGAATTTTTGTTTGTAGTACAGTGTAATAATATATTTATCATTATTATAAATTTTTTGGTTAGAAAATCCAGCAGGACTGATGTGTCAGTATTAAGTAACTTATAAAACTTCAATCCAGTTGAGTTTGAACAGATTAATGGAGTCATTTCTCTTTGTCTGACTCATACATAGGTCCCTGCTGCTCAGCAGATGTTAAATTTTCCTGAGAAGAACAAGGAAAAACCAATTGATTTGCAGAACTTTGGTCTTCGTACTGACATTTACTCCAAGAAAACATTAGCAAAGGTAAGGATTTTTTCAGAACACTTGGATTAATATGTACATTAATCCATTTAATCTGTCCTACTTCTAAGGTGAATCATTTCCCATAAGAAATAGAATTTACTGTGGTGGGAAGAAATGAGCTTTCTGCTGAAAACTTGATAGCATTTTATGTGTTTTTTGGTTTGCAGGGGGGTTTTTGAGACAGGGTCTTGCTGTGTAGTTTGTTTGTTTGTTTTTTGAGACAGGATCTCACTTTGTAGTTCAGGCTGATCTTCAACTCACTATGTAGCCCAGGCTGGTTTTTAATTGGTGACAGTCCTGCCTCAGTTTCCCAAGTGTTGGGTTTACAGGTGTGCCCCACCGTGCCCAGCTTACCTGATAGCCTACATAGTGGGTTCTAGGCCAGCCTGAATTACATAGCGAGACCCTGTCTCAAGAAAAAACCACACACACAAATGGTGGAGAGGAGAGGGAGGGAAAGGAAAGAAGATGAAAAAAGGAAGTAAGATGTATTATGTAAATGCACCAACTCCACACAAGGAATGTAAACATGTACTATGCACATCCGCTAATTAAAAATGTTCTAAATGAGATAATGTGGACTTGTTTGGATTGGAAATAGAACCTGTCAAAGTCTTGTATATGTACACTATCTTGTGTTGGAGTCTGGGAAAAAGTTGTTTTTTCAAATTATACTATAATTATAGTATTATAGTATTATAAACATAATACTGGTATTATGTTTATAATGTTACAGCATGGGCTGGGGATTTAGCTCAGTGGTTTCGCCACTTGCTGCACAAGCTCAAGGACCCGAGTTTGATCCCCGGTACCAGAAACAAACAAACAGTATAATGTTACAGCAAATTTATAGTATGAATTAAAATACTGTTCCTTGGTAGCTTTCAAATGTATTTATGAATATTTATGAATAATAGAAATAACATAGCCACATAGTTCATGAGTCTTTGGTTGACAGTAGGAAATCTTTAAAGTATGCCAGCCTTGCATTGGCCAGTGAAGTTCTTAGGTGTTTTATTTTTTGGAGACTTATGTGGTCCCTCAGTGGTTTGCAAAAAACAGACCCCTGAGCTTGACTGATAGCCCTGCTTTGTTCCATCCATATTCATCCTTGATGGGCAAATAATTTCTCACTTTGCTTCCGTAGAGTAAAGGTGCTAGTGCTGGAAGAGAGTGGACGGAACAGGAGACCCTTCTCCTCCTGGAGGTGAGCAGATTAACGGCGGAGCCTTTACTCACACAGCAGATGGGTGTGAAGATTCTTGAACTAGCACTTTGAATATGTGTATGTGTGGCGTTCAATTTAGGGAATGTGTAGTTGAGATTAAGGTTCACTGTTCCCATAGTATTTTTATTTAGTCCTCTGCCTTGATAGCGTATCATAGCTGTCCTTTTGTGTTCCTCCCATTTCACAAAACCAAATATTAAAAACATATTTTAACATTTCAGTGTTTTTTATTTTTCGAGACAGGGTCTTACTAAGTAGTTCAAGTTGATCTTGAACTTACTATGCAGCCCATGCTGGCCTGGAACCACAGCATTCCTCCTGCCTCAGCTTCCAAGTGCTGGGGTTACAGTCATGCGCCACCACACCCAGCTCACTTGGATTTATTAAAATGACTAACTTTCATAATTTAACAAGGAAGTGCTTAAGTGATCTGGCTTCTTTTGTTATTGCAAGGGTGTGGCAGTGAGTTTGGTCTTGACTGTCACTGCCTTGATTTGTGCTGTAATGCTACCACTGCTCTGTACCACGAGAGCAGTGCCAGCAGAATGAGGAAGGCAGTGATGTCTGCTCTGAGAGCTGTCTGGCCTCACAGCCCTCTAATAGGAGTCTGGTGTCTAGTGGTCCCCAACCACAATTGCAGTCAGTGAGCCTGGTGATGTCTTGATATCTTTCTTTTCATTTCCTTTATGTGTGTGTGTATGTATGTATGTATGTATGTATTATTTGACATCTTGATTTCTTTATAGTGCTTTGGGTTCCTCAAGATGTTCCAGCAATTTGGATTCCATTAAGAGCTTTCATGTCATGTATTTTCTTTCTTTTTTGTGCCCCTTTCCCATTTTTGTTTGTTTTTTCTTATGTATGGTCTATGTCTGCCTGCCTGCCTTCCACTCCATATGATCAAGATTAAAAAGAGGTTTTTTTGTAAAGTTTTTGCTATTTTAATTTATTTTCATTTTCTTATTGAGTACTGGTGTTATGCAGAGCTGCTTTCCTGCCTCGCCTGTTTATTTCAGGGCTCTGGTCTAGCCACATTGACCGGGGGTGTTAATTTCAAAGAACAGTGTTGTCACAACTTGTGCAGGAGTATTGTTTGTTTCTCTGTTGCTGTTTTGGAATCTTTGGGCTCTGGAGAGAAATTTAATTACACAGCAGCAACTGAAAATAACAGTTCTTTGTCTTGCTGCATACTGATGCTGAAAATGTCCTCTTCTCCGTTCAAGATTAGTGGATAGTAAATACAGAGTGAGGCAAAGGTGATGGAGTTCTGTTTACCCTGAACATATCCTGGAAATCTGCAGTATCCTTGAACAATACCATGTTTCCTCTCCTGCAGCTGGAACCTGTGCTGTGATTGATTTTTACCTTAGACAAGCAATTGAGTCAACACACATTATCTGCCCCTACGCAAAGAGATAAAACCTTCCCAACAGCCTTGTTTACCATCAGTGCCTTCCTGTACATGGTTTAGAGTATTAATAGCTTAGGATCATAAAATCCAGGGAAAATTCTTAAATTGATTCATTACCAAAATCAGATTTAAATTTCTCCATAGTAAATCTGGTAGACTCACTGGGATTTGTTTCCAGAATAGTATCATGCCATTTTGTTAGACAAATATGTAACACACAGGCAGCATTGCAGATATTTGTGATTATCCTTGAGACTGTCCACTTTTATTTTTAAAATGTAAGTTTTTTCATTTTTATTTTTTGGTACTGGGGATCAAACTCGGGACCTTGTGCTTGCAAGGCAGGCGGCAGAATCACTGAGCTAAATCCCTGGCCCTAAAATCTTAATTTAATAAAGGTTTCTATCAAAGCACACAGTTCATGAGTGAATACGGAATATCTTTGGTCATATTCACTTCATTGTCTCTGCATAAGTATTGGAGAATAGCTGGGTGTGGTGGCACATGCCTGTAATCCCAGCACTCTGGATGCTTGAGGCAGGAAGATTGCAAGTTCGACCCCAGTTTAGGCAACTTGGCAACTTAGTGAGACCCTTTCTCAGAATAGAAATGGACTGGGGAAGGCCCTGGATTCAGCCCCCAGTACCCCCACAAATGACTGCTGTGCTACATTTGAATATCATAGAAAAGCCAAATGCTTTTCCTGGTTAAGTGCAGTATTGAAGATTAAGATAGCTTGGACGTAATCCCACAAGTGAGGAATTAATACTGAAAGAGTGACATAGATAAAACACAAAACTTGAATGCAGTGTCCCCAGTTTCATGATTTGAGAGGTCTCCAGAGCATAGGACGCACAAAAGTGGAGTTTCTTTTCAAATGGCCTATGTGGATAAGATGGACAGCTTCCTGGGAATGGTATGATTGTCCAGTTTCTAGTGCATGGCGTTTGTGGTATGGCTTGCCTTGTATGTAGGGTACTGCCTAGGAATAGTGTTGTGTCTGAGTATTCCTGAAACTTAGGGGAGGGAGTATATGGTACAAGAAGGAGGTTGAGAGCTGATTATATTTGGTCATAACTCCATAAAATAGGGATGAGCAGTGAAACCATTTTAGTTAGGATGGAAGCAGTGCTTTGTGTGAAATATAATTCCTTCTAGCAACAGGGAGAAGAATGAATTTAAGGCAAGAGGACAGGCAGTTTCTAAGAATCCAAGCATGTGATGATGAAGACCATCCTGTGCGGTGGCAGAGGAGGAAGCCCGGGGTTTCATGCTGTTTGAACTATGGACTCCAGTCTTTGCTGTGTGGCACTCTTCCTTACCTCCTTCCTGGCCACTCTGTCACCATGTTCTCCTGAAAGCACCTCTACAGGTTGCTTCTTACTTATTGCCACAGTTAGTGCCCAAGCTGGGCCATTTACTGTTTCTCAGCTCTGTACTTTTCTGGGTGCTAATTCTTGCTTGGATTTTGCATTCCAAAGAGTTTCTCAACTCCAGATTTATTCTAGGGGAAAAAACCCCTGAGTTTTGTTGGGAAATGAGTAAAGAAAACTCTTTAGCAAGTTTGTTGGGAAAAAATTAAGATAGAGGGTGCCCTCCCTGTAATGAGGAACTTAAGGTGGCTCCTATAGTTATATTTCTGCCTCCAAGGACCCTGGTGAGATAGATACATTTTTCTTTCTCACAATCTAGGTCTTTCTCTTAAATATTTCACTCTAAAACTACCTGAATTACCCTCATTTGTCAAGGTTAATTAACTATTAAGACCAGTTGCAGAATTGGTTTTGGAATTCTCTAGCATTACATCAAGAATAACCCCAGATAGGGCTGGGGATTTAGCTCAGTGGTTTCGCCACCTGCTGCGCAAGCGCAAGGACCTGAGTTCGATCCCCAGTACCAAAAAAAAAAGAATAACCCCAGCCAGCTTACACTCTCCAAAGCTAATAAGCATGGAAACTACAATGATCACAGAGAACACATCTTACAGCAAATTAGGCTCCAGAGCTACATTTATACATTGCTCTGTTGACAAGGTAGACCCCATTATTAGGACTTACCCAGCATGTGTAAGGACTTGAGTTCAACCTCCAACACAGGCAAAAAAAAAAAAGAAAAAAGGGGGAAGCATGATCTAGAGAGAATGGCTTGAGAGTAGCAGCTTCATTAAGCCACTAAAGATCTTTTTCCCTCCAGTTAATTTTTGACTTTCTTAACACCACGTATTTTGGTTTTCTTTCCATTGTTCCCTCCTTCTCCATGGGGATTCATTTACTGTTTTATTGGAGTCTTTCAGAATTTAGTCTGAAAAAAGTTACAGATCTTAAAACTAGAATTGGGTTGCGGTGACACATGCCTCTAACTCCCACATTCTGGGAGTTTGTGGCAGGAAGATTGCAAGATTGAGTCCAGTCTTCGCAACTTAGTGACTTAGCAAGACACTGTCTCAAAATTTAAACATACAAAAAGGACTGGGGTGGCTGAGGATTTAGCTCAGTGGTTCCAGCACCTGCCTCTCAAGCTCAAGGTCCCGAGTTTGATCCCCAGTACCAAAAAAAGGACTGGGGTTGTAGCTCACCCAAAGGCCCTTTACTCCTGTCCCCAAAGAAGTGCCATAGATGTTTATATACTTTATAAATTTCATAATCTGCTTATCAGTTTGTACACAAAACCCTGTTTAGAGTTTGATATGTATTTTGTTAAATCTGTAGTTCAACTTGAAAACAATCAATGTTTTAATATTGTAACTCACAGTGCATTAAACCAGTACAACTCTTCATTTATTAGGTCTTTGAGTTCTGTCCCTGTTTTCTTTCTCCCTGGCATATTGATCCAACACATTCTGTAATATATTCCTGTTTCATTTTTATGCTGATTTAACAATTTTCTAATTTAAAATTGTTCATTGCTATTAGGTATAGGAACAGCTTGATTTTCTCTCAAGTATGACTTTTCCTTTAAGTGACTTCTCCCAAGTATGAACTTTTAGCACCTTTTTTGTAGCTTCTTTAGATTTTTTTACATGAATAATTATATTTGTAAAAGACAGTTTTACTTCTTCCTTTATAATATGTAGGCCTGTTGTTTACTTTTCCTGTTTGAGAACTGTTTGTTTGAGCCAGGGTCTCATTATATAGCCCCTGCTGGCCTGTAACTTGTGATCTTCCTGCCTCAGCCTCTGGGATTCCAGGCCTGAGCCACCACATGTGGCTTTCCTACCCCTTTTTAATGTACAGCATCACTTATCAGTCAGCCTTTTCTTCGCCAAGACATAGCACCGGAAACCCACAACCTAGAGCTGGAGAGGTTTAGCTTAGCACCTGGTTTCTGGAGTTTCAGTCGTTGCTCAGCAAGCTGTGAGGCCGAAACCTCATGGCAGAAGGACGTGAGGGAGCAAAGCAAGGGAACAGTGCAGAGAGGAAAGGAGCCTGGGACTATGCACAAGTCTGTGACCCCTGTGGAGCACACATGTCCCCAGGGTGCCTTCGTCCACTGAAATTTACATCAGCATATTCTTTTTAAAAACAGCTACGGAGGGGCCGGGGATTTAGCTCAGTGGTTTCACTGCCTGCTTCGCAAGCGCAAGGACCTGAGTTCGATCCCCGGTGCCAAAAAAAAAAAATAGCTACAGAAAGAACTATCACATGCTTTTAATTTCATTACACATTATTTTGTTGTTAACTTTTTTGTTTTGTTCTCTATTTTAGGCCCTGGAGATGTACAAGGATGATTGGAACAAAGTGTCAGAACATGTTGGAAGCCGCACTCAAGATGAGTGCATCCTCCACTTTCTGCGGCTTCCTATTGAAGACCCGTACCTCGAGAATTCGGATGCTTCCCTCGGGCCACTGGCCTACCAGCCTGTCCCGTTCAGTCAGTCGGGAAACCCAGTCATGAGCACTGTGGCATTTTTGGCCTCTGTGGTGGACCCTCGTGTAGCATCTGCCGCAGCGAAGGCAGCTCTGGGTATGGACTCCGCTGTGCCACCTCTCCAATACAGAAACTGAATTGGCCTCAGACTTAAATATTATCAGCGGTTGCTTTTTCCTTATGTAAATAACCAAAACATCAGATATTACGCCTTAAAAACACCATGTGCTTTATCAAAAGTATAACAGTTTTAAAGTAAAGCACTCAAATTTAGTGCCTTGTAAATGAAGGAGATATTTTATTAAGAATTTAAGGAGCGGGCCGGGGATTTAGCTTAGTGGTTTCGCTGCCTGCTGTGCAAGCACAAGGACCTGAGTTTGATCCCTGGTACCAAAAAAAAAAAAGAATTGAAGGAGCATTTGAGTGTGTTGGTGCAGGCCTGTAATCCCAGTACTCAGGAGGCTCAGGCAGGAGGATTGCAGTGAGTTCAAGGCCAAAAAAAGAAAGAAAAAAAATTGAATGAGCAGCACCAGGCACGATGGTACAGGGCTATGCTTGCAGCACTCTGAGAAACTGAGTCAGGAGGACCACAAGTTCCAGGCCAGCCTAGGCAATTCAGCAAGACCCTGTCTCAAAATAAGAAAGACTTGGGAATTTAAGAGTTAGGGATTTATCTCAGTGTGAAAGTCCCCAGTACCAGAGGGGAAATAAGAAAGGAGAAACAGCAGAAGTGTATTTTGTGGTATTCTTGTATTTAATTTGGAATTTCATAGAATTGAGAAAGGAAATTACTTACTATTCTCGGATTATGTTATAGAAGTTTTTCGCCATAGAATTTTATTTTTTTAGACAAGAACTATGTAGCCCAGGCTGACCTTGAACTTGCAGAAATGGTCCTGCCTGTCTCCCAGGTGCTAGGATTACAAGAGTGCATCAGCTCGCCCAGCTTCACCATACAATTCTTTTTCAGTTTTATGGTTGTTTAATGCTTGTTGGTTTTTGTCAATCTATCCATTGATAATTACTGATTGGTAGTCAGAAATTTTTATATATAGTAAGGTACTGTGATAGGTTGAATGAAAACCTGGAGTCAGAAGTTTTGCCACTGCTTTTCTTACTTTGTCCTCATGTTTTGCTCCATTGGGAACTCAGCCCCAAAGAGGTCACTATGCCCCAGGGAACATTACATTAGATATCTTAGGGCTCGTCCACTGAAGCGAGCATTTACACAAAATGAAGGCACTGTTGCACTTTTGCTCTTACCAGAGGAGTTTTCTCGAGTCCGGGAGGAGGTGCCGCTGGAGTTGGTGGAAGCACATGTCAAGAAAGTGCAAGAAGCTGCACGCGCCTCTGGGAGGGTGGATCCCACCTATGGTTTGGAGAGCAGCTGCATTGCAGGCACTGGGCCCGACGAGCCTGAGAAACTGGGTGAGTCCCTCCTGCCCATGGCTGGAGCTCACTGGTGTGTGCCATGACCGCACACGTACCGGGTTGGCTTCTCTTACGAGCACACAGCAGTCAGAGTGAACCAGGCTCTTGAGTCTACTGCATGGGATTTTTTCTCTTAGTACTTTTTTTTTGTACTGGGGATGGAACTCAGGATTTGGTGCTTGCAAGGCAGGTGGCAGCACCACTGAGCTAAATCCCCGGCCCACTTAGTACTTTGTTTAATATGGTAGTTAGGACTGAAAAAAAGTCAGGACTGGTAATAGTGTTAGGAAATAATTGATGGCTGTAGGTCTAGGTTTTGAACAAATAGAGATAAGAATACTAACAGCTATGTTTAATTTATATGTTGCTAAATTCATTTTTTTCTTTTAGTTAAATTCTAAAAAATTCTCCATTTTAACCACTTAAAAGTTTATAATGTTAGCTTCTGATATATTCATAGTGCTGTACATCTTTCACTATTATCTAATTCTAGAACATTTTTCATCATTCTGAAAAGAAATTTGAAACTCCTTAAGTCACGTCTCATTCCTCCTCCCCTCCAGCCCTGGTAACTACCAACTGTTATCTACGTGGATTTATTCATTAAGTTTAGTGGTACATTTTAGGTATACAATGTGATGACAGGGCTGGAGATATAGGTCAGTTGCACCGAACCTGCCTCGCAAGCACAAGGTCCTGAGTTTGATCCCCGGTACCAAAAAAAGAAAAGAAAAAACAATGTGATGACATTCATCATTGGGAATTTATACCTGTACATGATGTATCTTGGTTATTATTTTTTCCCCTTTCCGCTGCCCTCCCTTCAACTCCTCCACTCCTCCCTATTTAGAAAGACTTTATTTCCGTTTTTTTCCTTTTCTCATATTTTTTCCTTTCCCCCACTCCCACTTCCACTTCCCCTTCCCCTTTCCCTTTCCCTTTGGACCTTTTCTTCCTATTTCATGTTATCTATTATACATTTTGATCCTCATTTACACTTTTGGTTTCTCACACCAGAGAAACTATTCAGTATTTACATGTGTGTCTCTAGTTTCTCATTCTTTATGGCTGAGTAGTACTCCATTTCATTAAAAAACCCCACATCTTCTTTATCCAGTTTCCAGTCGATGGGCACTTGGGCTGTTTCCAAGCTTTAGCTATTACAAAGTGTGCCGCCCTAAACATAGGTGCACATGTATCACTGTGGTATGATTCTTTTAATTCTTTGAGGAAGATTCCCAGTAGGGGAATAGCTGGGTCAAATAGGACCTCTAGTCCTAGTTCTTTGAGGTATCTCCATACGGATTTCCACAGTGGTTGCACCAGTCTGCACTCCCACCAACAATGGAGAAGGGTTCCTTTCTCCCCACAACCCCACCAGCATTTGTTGTTGGATGATTTCTTGTTTTGTTTTGTTTTTTGGTACCGGGGATCGAACTCGGGTCTTTGTGCTTGCCAGGCAGTCGCCACTGAGCTAAATCCCCCGACCCACATTGGATGATTTCTTGATAGCAGCCATTCTTTCTGGGGTGAGGTGGAATCTCAGTGTTGTTTTCATCTGCATCTCTACAATAACCAGTGAAGTTGAACATTTTTTTGTATATTTGCTGCTTTTACTTCTTTGTCTGAGAAATATCTGTTCATTTCAGATGCCCATTTTTGAATTGGGTCTTTTAATTTGGGGGTCTGATTTTTTTCAGTTCTTTATATATTCTAGATAGTAGTCCTTTGTCTAAGGTGCAGCTGCTGAAAATTTTTTCCCACATTGTAGGTTGTCTCTTAGCTCTGTTGGTGGTTTCTCTTGCAGTGCAGAAGCTTTTTAATAAGATAAGATCCCAGTTGTTGATTCTTTGTGCAAGTTCCGTGCCACTGAGGTTTTGTTCATAAAATCTCTTCCTATACCAATATCTTCAAGAGTTCTACCTAACGTTTCTTCCAGCAAATTTAGTATTTCTGTCTTAATATTTAAATCTTTAATCCACTTCAATCTTAATTTAATTCATGGTGTTAGGTATGGGTCAAGTTTTAGTCTTTGGCAGGTTGAAATTCAGTTTTTCCAACACCGTTTATTAAATAGGCTGTCTTTCCTCCAATGAGGATAGTTGGCTTCTTTGTCAAAGATGAGGTGGCTGAGCATATCTGTAGTTACTCCTGCATCTTCTAATCTATTCCACTGATCCTCAGGTCTGTTTCTTTGCCAATACCATGCTGTTTTTATCACAGTAGCTTTGTAGTATAGTTTCAAGTTGGGGATTGTAATACCCCCAGCCATATGTCTGTTGCCTAAAATTTCTTTTGCTATTCTAGGTCTCTTCCGGTTCCAAATAAATTTTTGGATTGTTTTCTCTAGTTCTGTGAAATATATTGTTGGAATTTCAATCAGAATTGCATTAAACTTATAAAATAGTTTTTGGAAGTATGGCCATTTTCAGTGTATTGGTTCTTCCTATCCAGGAACAAGGGATGTCTTTCCATTTTCTTATATCCTCCTCAATCTCCTTTTTCAAAGTGCTGTAGTTTTCAGTGTAAAGGTCTTTTGCTTCCTTTGTTAAATTGACTCCTAGATATTTCATTTTTTTGGATGCTATTGTAAAAGGAATTGTTTCCCTAATTTTTTTCTCAGTGAGTCTATTATTTGTATATAAAAAGGCTATTGTTTTTTGAGTGTTGACCTTTTATCCAGCTACTCTACTGAATCTGTCAGTTAAGTCTAGAAGTCTTTTGGCAAAGTATTTTGGGTCTTCTATGTAAAGTATTGTATCATCAGCAAATAATGACAGTTTAAGTTCTTCCTTTCCTATTTTTATTCCTTTTATTTCTTTCTCTTAATTGCTGTGGCTTTTGTTTCAAGAACAGTATTGAACAGGAGTGGTGACAGTGGGCATCCTTGTCTTGTTCCTGATTTTAGCATGAAAGTTTTCAGTTTTTGACCATTTAGTATGATGTTGGCTGTTGCTTTTTCATAGATAGCCTTAAGCAAGTTGAGATAAAGACCTCCTATTCCAATTTTCTGTAGGGTTTTTATCATGAATAGGTGTTGGCTTTTGTCAAATGCCTTTTCTGCATCTATTGAGATAATCGTATGGTTTTTGTCCTTGAATCAATATAGTTTATTATGTTTATTGATTTATGAATGTTCAGTCATCCTTGCCATCCCTGGGATAAATCCGACTTGGTCAGGGTGTGTGATCTTCTTGATGACCCTTTGTATTCTGTTTGCCAGTATCTTGTTGAGAATTTTTGCATCAATATTCATTAGGGAAATTGGCCTGTAGTTTTCATTTTGGATTGTGTCTTTCCCTGGTTTTGGAATAAAAGTAATAATTGCTTCCAGGAATGAATTTGGAAGCTTTGCTTCCCTTTCAGTTTCCTCGATGAGTTTAAAGAGTAATGGCATTAGTTCTTCTTTAAATGTCTTGTAGAATTCAGCAGTGAAGCCATCAGGACCTGGGCTTTTCTTTGTTGGTA